GCCCTCCAACTCCTTAATGGGGATGTCTTGCAAAAATTAAAAGGGTGTATATTGTTTAGAACATTATTCTAAACATCTTTTGTTCAATATTGCTTATCAAAATATTTCCTCTTTTCAAGATAAAAAGTGTCAAAGATTTAGCATTCTGGCCCCTTATGGCCCCTTATTACGTAACATATGATCAAAATTTTATAATATATAGTTGCAGATTGTTAAGATGAACATTTTTGCTTCAGTAATTTATAACAAAATATTGATCATTAAAGAGTTATAGATGAAAGACTTTTGGCCCTTCTGAGCCCCTAATTTGAGGGGTCAGCCCCTTTTTCTTGATATCAAATAAAAGGTCTTGTGATTTTGAAGACTTTTTGTTCAATATGTTTTAACAAAATACTTCTATTTAAAATGTTATTTTAAGAAATGTCTCTAAAATTCACTCGTAAATCACGTCCTAAATTTCGACCCCTACCCAGCTTCCATACTTCGCACTTCCGGAAAATTTGAAAACCAAGGTGCACATCTAGAACATGTCCTCTATCACCACTGAAAGTTTCAACACTCTAGCATTTGTCGTTTTTGAGTTTTTGTGCAGACACAAGGTCTATGTAAAAATCGATCAAAGGGCGATAACTTCTGACCGGAAGTGATTTTTCAAAAACTGAAGCGGCGTTATAAACTTCAGATAGCAACGCATTAACCCTGAAAATTTGAAGCAAATCGATCGAGAGATCTCCGAGAAATCCTCTGCACAAAATCGGTAAGGAAAAAAAAAAGAATAATAACTAGATGGTTCTCGTTGCGAGCAACGAGTGGGTCTTCCGTCTGATTTTGGATGAGATTAATCAAGATCTTGACTGAGATATTTGTCTATAAAAGTGAAAGGATGATTGTTTTAAACGTTATTCAGATCATCTTTTGTTCAATATTGCTTATCAAAATATTTCTCCTTTTCGAGATATAAAGTGTCAAAGATTTAGCATTCTGGCCCCTTATGGTCCTTTATTACGTAACATATGATCAAAACTTTACAATATATAGCTGCAAAATATTAATATGAACATTTTTGCTTCAGTAATTTATAGCAAAATATTGATCATTAAAAAGTTATAGATAAAAGACTTTTGGCCCTTCTGAGCCCCTAATTTGAGGGGTCAGCCCCTTTTTCTTGATATCAAATAAAAGGTCTTGTGATTTGGAAGACTTTTTGTTCAACAACTATTCAGAAATTTCCTTTCGTTTAAGAGATATATAGAATAACAATATTTAGGGGCCAGCCCTCCAAGTCCTTAATGGGGATGTCTTGCAAAAATTAAAAGGGTGTATATTGTTAAGAACATTATTCTGACCATCTTTTGTTCAATATTGCTTATCAAAATATTTCTCCTTTTCGAGATACAAAGTGTCAAAGATTTAGCATTCTGGCCCCTTATGGCCCCTTATTACGTAACATATGATCCAAATTTTATAATATATAGTTGCAGAATGTTAAGATGAACATTTTTGCTTCAGTAATTTATAACAAAATATTGATCATTAAAGAGTTAGAGATAAAAGACTTTTGGCCCTTCTGAGCCCCTAATTTGAGGGGTCAGCCCCTTTTTCTTGATATCAAATAAAAGGTCTTGTGATTTGGAAGACTTTTTGTTCAACAACTATTCAGAAATTTCCTTTCGTTTAAGAGATATATAGAATAACAATATTTAGGGGCCAGCCCTCCAAGTCCTTAATGGGGATGTCTTGCAAAAATTAAAAGGGTGTATATTGTTAAGAACATTATTCTGACCATCTTTTGTTCAATATTGCTTATCAAAATATTTCTCCTTTTCGAGATACAAAGTGTCAAAGATTTAGCATTCTGGCCCCTTATGGCCCCTTATTACGTAAGATATGATCCAAATTTTATAATATGTAGTTGCAGAATGTTAAGATGAACATTTTTGCTTCAGTAATTTATAACAAAATATTGATCATTAAAGAGTTATAGATAAAAGACTTTTGGCCCTTCTGAGCCCCTAATTTGAGGGGTCAGCCCCTTTTTCTTGATATCAAATAAAAGGTCTTGTGATTTGGAAGACTTTTTGTTCAACAACTATTCAGAAATTTCCTTTCGTTTAAGAGATATATAGAATAACAATATTTAGGGGCCAGCCCTCCAAGTCCTTAATGGGGATGTCTTGCAAAAATTAAAAGGGTGTATATTGTTAAGAACATTATTCTGACCATCTTTTGTTCAATATTGCTTATCAAAATATTTCTCCTTTTCGAGATACAAAGTGTCAAAGATTTAGCATTCTGGCCCCTTATGGCCCCTTATTACGTAACATATGATCCAAATTTTATAATATATAGTTGCAGAATTTTAAGATGAACATTTTTGCTTCAGTAATTTATAACAAAATATTGATCATTAAAGAGTTAGAGATAAAAGACTTTTGGCCCTTCTGAGCCCCTAATTTGAGGGGTCAGTCCCTTTTTCTTGATATCAAATAAAAGGTCTTGTGATTTTAAAGACTTTTTGTTCAATATATTTTAACAAAATATTTTTATTTAAAATGTTATTATAAGAAATGTCTCTAAAATTCACTCAAAAATTTCGTCCTAAATTTCGACCCCTACCGAGCCTCCATAATTTGCACTTCCGGAAAATTTGAAAACCAAGGTGCACATCTAGAACATGTCCTCTATCACCACTGAAAGTTTCAATACTCTAGCATTTGTCGTTCTTGAGTTTTTGTGCAGACACAAGGTCTATCTAAAAATCGATCAAAGGGCGATAACTTCTGACCGGAAGTGATTTTTCAAAAACTGACAGGGCGTTATAAACTTCAGATAGCAACGCATTAACCCTGAAAATTTGAAGCAAATCGATCGAGCGGTCTCTGAGAAATCTTCTGCACAAAATCGGTAAGGAAAAAAAAAAGAATAATAATAATAAAAAGAAAAGTGAAAAATCAACAATAGAATAATAGAAGGGTCTTCCGCAGAAGACGGAAGACCCTAATAATAAAAAGAAAAGTGAAAAATCAACAATAGAATAATAGAAGGGTCTTCCGCAGAAGACGGAAGACCCTAATAAGAAAAGTGAAAAATCAACAATAGAATAATAGAAGGGTCTTCCGCAGAAGACGGAAGACCCTAATAATAATAATAATAAAAAGAAACAATACAATCACTATAAGTCTTCCGTTGTGAACGGAAGACTTAATAATAATAATAAGAAACAGAGTAAAAACAATATGTTCCCAAACTTCGTTTGGGGAACATAATAACTACTGTTCAATGCACTAAATACAACTACAGTGTGACTTTTATTTAAATTATTGCTTTAAATCAAAAGCATTGTGTTCTGTCATATTATATAACTTTGCTACAGTTTCAATGCATGTTTTTTTTCTCCCTTTATCTTGATAATTTAACTGCAATGAGAGGAATTAAAAATATGATACAGTATTTATACATCTATTATTAATATAAAGTGACAGTTCTTACAAATTTTATAATAGAGTTAAATACAAATAAGTCATTCACAACTGTTTTTTTTTTTAGGGTTTTATTTAACCCTTTTCCCATGTCTATCATTTTTTAAGATTTCAAATAAAACACATGATCATCATTGTCGGTGCTGTTCATTTGTTTTCAGCAACCTCTTCCAACTGCCATTAAAAAAAAAAAAAAAAAAAAAACCATGCTGATATTTAAAGAAGGAGGAAATAAAATACATAACCAAAATGAAAACTATAACTAAATCAGGGATTTTTTCCCACGGGAAAAAAAATCAACTTGCAAGTTTTTGCGAGTTACTTATTATTTCACTCACATTTTGGGATTTCTAATTCGCATTTTGCGAGTTGTATATAGTGAATTTCGAACCCTGTTATCGTAAACAGAATGAAGAAAACATTTCTTTTAAAAATACTCATGAAGAGTGTTTCACAACCCCAGATTAATAATGTAACTTTTTATCAAAAATTGGATAGTAAAACTTCCATATATATATATGCAATATACATGTATATACTGTAAACAACTTTTATTCGCGTGCAAGAAATATTCACGAGTTTCGCGACCTACTTTAAATCGCGAATATTAATCGCTGTGAACAATATGTTTTGCTTTGTATCTGTAGAGAATATTTCCTTAGTTGTGAAATTAATCACTGTGGATTGATTTCAAACTGACGAATCGCGAATAAAAGATAATGTGAAAAATACAGTACATTAAGGATAGGTACTGCCAAAATTTTGTTTCACAATATATCTGGATTTTCCTCCAAAATATCCCCAAAAAATTATGATATATTTACATGCAAGTTTTACTACAATTTTGAACAAATATATCTCAAAAGTTTTTATTACAAAATTATGCTGTGAAAACATAACTTTACTTTTTATATTTTTATTTATATAATTTTTTAAATTCTTTTGATAAAATGGAATAGAATTGAGTCAACTGACCTGATTCAATAAAGTATCAATGAAAACAATTGAGCACAACGTTAACATTATTAGGGTATGATCACAATATTTATCAACCCATGTACATATATGAAATGACTCAGGGAAACTACAGGATGAAGTATAATGTAAAGAGCCTTTTTTAGTTGGGCCTCAGCTACATAGTTCTAACTTATGAGCATGTCTTGATGTAAGAATGCCTTGGTTAACATGTTTTATACTAACTTCTGGAAATTATACTTCAAAACTTTGAATGAATAAATCAATTAATTTCAAAATATTTAATTATATGTTCAAAATACCCATATTTCAGTCTCCGTATGACGATAAAGGTATACCGATAAAGTCGCACATATCCCAGCCAATATACATGTTTATGAGTCCTTGAAATGCTGTGCTATACCCTTGTGAACAGACCGTATAAGAGAGCACATCCAGACCAAATGGAGGGGAGTGAACCAGAGAAAACAAGAGCAAAAAGAGAAAAAGTAAGCAAGAACTGAGTGAATACAGAAAAATAGAAGCAGAATTTTTCAGGTACTGTACCCCTGGTAGACTTGTACGGAGTCCATTCCTCATCACTGTCTGATTCCACTTTCTTTGGTTTTCTTTTTGCTCTAGATCTGGGTCCCTTCATAAACTCAGGCATCACAGCAGGCAGTCCTGAAATTATCAAATCTAGATATAAATAAAAATAAATAATAAAACAATATACAGTCAATTGAGATATTGCGCCTAAATAGTGCATTTGTAATAAACCATTAAACCATACATGGTAGTAATACACAGTACTAGTTGTTCCCCTTTTATTGCAACTTCAGATCATTGTCAAATATGATCTTCAGAAGAAATAACATATACCCCGGTACTTTCAATCTTTATTTTAAACGTACCAACAGCCAGCATTATCTCATAATTCTTCCTCATGTTCTTGTATCTAAGCAGTTCTACATTAGATAGTTTGGCCAGCTCAGCCTTGGAGAAATATTCCTCTACACTGTACTCTCTGTTCTCTAGTTCTCTGATGACGTCATCACTTGGGAATTCCATGTTTAGTTTTGGGCTAAACAGTCTTTTAAAACATCAACAAGAAATAATTTAAATTGAAATACTTTAACATGTATAAACACTACATTTTTATTTCCAGTAAAACTTGAAAAATTTGTTTAAAAAAAAAAAAAACTAAAACAGAGCAATCATCCCTCTATACTAATCTTATCTTTGGTCTAAGGCACACAATTTTAAAATTTGATTTTTTTTTTGAAGGGGGGGGGGAAGGATATTATGATACCTCCTACACTCAAACTTCAGAAACTATTGAAGGAATGAAGTTAATGCTTCCCAAATGACTTAGAATAGAGCATTGCTCTACTTTTTAACAGTTAATACAAGACTTTGCTGATTTTTTCCTCCTAGGCAATGAAAACCATTCACAAAAGAGTCAATGATTTATTTTTATTGTTACCATAAACCAAATCCATGGGTTACTAGATTGAAATAAACGCAAAGTACTAGTATTTTCGAATGAGATAATGAATGTATATCCACAAATGCTTCTGTTCAACCTTTTCCTCTTTTTAAGAAGTGTTAATGCATTGGTTGGTCAAATTATGATAATGCCGTATAGTAATATTGTCATCTAGTTTAATGACTGAATGCACTGTTTAGGGCTGAAAAACTTGGAATTTATGGAAATGTTAAAAGCTTGTTAGTCTTTCTTTTTGTGCATATGGACATGAGAGCTGCATGTACATGCAGCCTTCAAAGACAAAAGGTTCACATCAGGGAATCCAAGATTTACATTGAAATATATATAGGAAAAATCTTTACAAATCTTCTCCTCAAGAACCACTGGGCCAGAAAAGTTGAACTTTATGTGAAAGCTTGCTGAGGTAGTGTAGATTCTAAGTTGTTCAAATCATGACCCCCGGGGTTAGGAGGGGCCACAATAAGTATTACAAGAGGAAAATCTGGTGAAGAACAGCAGGGCCAAAGTTACTCAGGTGAGTGTTGTGGCCCATGGGTCTCTTGTTTGCTTTCTTGACCAGACACATGTTTTCCATTTGCATAGTCAATTTACAGGCAAGTTTAAGATATACAGATGCATACTGTTGCCCCTTCACAGTTTGTGAGGCAATAAGAAAAAAATTGCTACCCTAAGACCTAATCAGTAGACTACTGTGACATGAAGGTCACCCTGATCCAAGGATTATACAGGCTCGCCATTGCTTAACTTGCCTATACCGCATCACTAGAAAAGCTAGCTCACTACTGAGGCAGTATAAGTTCCCTATATGCTGTCTGAGCTACACAAAAATGTCAGCATTTCCCTATGAAATGATGTCAAAGGAACATCTACTTTTTTTGTAATTGTGCTAAACTCTAGGCCTATTTGTTAAAAATTAGTAGATCAATAAGGTAGCTACTTTATTAATAAAGTCTCAGACGAGGGGATTCTTCACACATAAACTCCCAGTTAACGAAAGCTCTCGTGTTGAATTGTAGAGAAACCACCCTCAGCAGGAGAATAAAAAGGGCTGTATCAATACATCGACATTCAAGAAATTGTATCCTATTGAAAAAAATAAGCTTTCAATACGTATCAGGCAGGCAGTTTTTCGTATAATTCTGTGAAAGGTTGGGAATTTCTTTAGAACCGTTTTGAATTAAAATTGATCAATAATGAAATAATCATTAAGGAGGTAGCACATTTTAGATAATTATTACAAAATACATCTATAGACAATTTTATTTAACATGTTGATTTTACAATAGGTAAAAAGTTTGAATTTGAAGTGTAACTTGAAACAACAGTGAGACAAGAAGTTTTAAAAATGAGTTGCAAAACAATTTGTTTTTATAAAATCAAGCATTAAATGATTTTTAAGACTTTTTTGATAGACATGTTAAAGAATCCAATATATATCGCACATCCCATTATAGCCCACAGGGGCTTGCTCCCGGTGTGTAATAATTATTTTAAAAAATCATATACGGTATGTAATACTATTACCGTTTACATGGTTTATGATTTTTTAAATAAATAATTATTACACGACGGGAGCAAGCACCTGTGTTATATCCTAAAATATTGTATCGTACTGAATTTTTTTGCTCAAGCCCTAGAATAAATACATGTAGGCCATGTTCAGAGAGATATAGTAAATAATTGATATAAAATGTCTTTATTTCTTTTAAAAAAATCATACATTTTAAATTAGGCCTCGCCAACAATAAAATATTATAATAAAAGGCAAGAATATAAAACTCCCAGGGCCGCCAGCCGCCGGATGCCTTTCAAGAAAAAAAAAGTTACCATCTCGACATACAAAGTATAATTCAAAATGCAACACAACATAAATGAATTAATCTTTTTGATTTCTTGTGCCAATTTACCTGTTTATCGTACCAAAAATTGTTTTCAGTTCAATGACCTTCTCGTTTGTGGAAGCAGACGACAAGAATATTATTGTGACTGTCGATCCCGATTAAAATAAAATTGAGTGTGATGTCATTTATTATAGCTCTATCCCCTCCAAAAATTTATTTGAACCCGGTACACAATAAAAAAAATAATAAATAAATAAATAAATAATAATAATAATAATAATAATTAAAAAAACCCAGCGATTGTGAATGTAAATTGAAATATTATAGTTTACTAAAGTTTTTAAATGGTCAATTATTAAATTTAAATGCCCTGTATCGTTTTAGCTAATTTGTGTCAGGAGCTTAATTACAAGTTATAAACTAAAAATTTATCTAGTCTATCATATTTTTAAATATTAAATATAATGAAACATTTGTGTCTTTTTATTATCTGATTTTCTTAACTCCATGCTCAAAACAAAATTAACGGATGTTTGTTAAAAAAAAACTGAAACAACAAAAAACATAAACAAAAAAAAAACAAAAAAGAAAAAACAAAACAAAAAAAACAACAAAAAAAACCCCGATAATTTCATTAAACTCTCTCACTTGGTCGTGAAATTTCATAATGATAATGAACTGCCTTTCTGTGTAAACATTTTCTTTTCATTAAATATCAATTGTTCGGGACTATACGCCTGTCACTATTTGTAAGAGATAAGACTAAAACCAGATAAGTCCCAGATAAGCGGATCAGTGGATATCATTGACGAGGTTTAACACTTTCTAAATCAACCTGCCATACATTGTGTCACTTCCTTTAATCCTCGCTCTCATAACAATAACATAATAGATCGGGGTGGCCTTAAATCATACCATCTTTTTTTTTTTTTAAATGTTAAAGCTTTACTTAAGATTTTTTTTCAAAGTCAAGGGGGGTCTATCTATACTTTTTTTCTTTAAAAAAAATTATTAACGAAAAAGGGGGAGGGTTAGACATTTGACGAAAATTGAATTCATACATTTGAAACAATTGTCATGTGTAACTAAGTTTTCTTTTCTATCAAAAAAAAAAAAAAAAAAAAAAAAAAAAAAATTGGGCCATTTTGCATGTTTTTTTTAATAGTTCACGTATACAGACAAACATTATTGACAGCGATCGACACAGAGCCTGATTGATGACAGAACTTTAACATGTTTCTCAGGAAAAGTTTGACCAGGTCGCACCTATCTAAATATTGATTGATTTATATCTTAAATGAAAGGAGACATTTGTTTATCTTAATTTTCGGTTGATTCTTTAAATCTAAGGATTAGAACAACAACTATACACCAATACGATGTTTCACCTTCGATTACATCTCTTATTGCTTGTACCTAAATCAGCGAAGATTTCCGAAGGAATGTACAATTGAGTTTTTTCTTGAGTGTCGTCGTGACTGTGGGATGCCTCAGTGGTTAAATGATTTCTAAGAACTTGATTGTCATGCCGTTTTCTTAACATATTCTCAAGTGAGCTTTGGAATTTCTCTGAGAGTTTGAATTAAAACAAAAGAAACTGACACAAAATGGCAACACCAAAATTAACGTTTTTAAGGTATGTGTTTTTTTTTCTTCTATCGTTTCATTCTGTGCAATGTGTAAATTATGTTACAGTTGTCATTTATTGAAAAGAATGGTTCACAAATTGTTTTTAAAGTCTTTTCATAACATTTTTTCTGTGCGTTTGGAGTCTCGGGAACAATGGAATTTACACAAACATATAATTCATTTTACACCTATAGCCCTTTGAAAAGGATTATTTACTGAAACTTTAGTTTCTGTGTATGGGATCATTGATGCGGTTCTTAATTTTCCAGATTTCTTGCTAAACGAAGATTCTAAAGAGAGTGAATTCTTCACTATAGGTGCAGTTGCATTGTTCATGGTCACTTTGCATTTAATCGGCTTAGCAATAAGCCTTAAAATATTAATACCAACGGGTCATCTGCAACTTCTAGATGCAAAACTAATATTTTTAATACATTAATTGATCGATAACTAATTCTTGAATGATATCTTATTGGTATACCTTTATTTCGTTGTAATGTATACATGTTTTCTGAAGATCCAACATGTGAAATGACTAACAACAAAACGCAGGAATAGATAAATAAACATTTGAAAGGATAGATAGAACGACAATTTTTTGACGATATAGAGCCCTTTACATGAACTATGGTAATTGGTAAAGTGCTTTATAAATTTTTAATGTTTTCTTGCTTAATTTTTTAGGGTTTAAAAACAGAGATAATCTGTTTTACAAGTAAACAATTACATACTAAATTTACTAAAACACTCTTCAAGAGAGAGAGAGAGAGAATATTTCATTAAGAATAGTACGTCCCCTTTTTACATATTTTAGTTTCCCAACATATAAAACATTGCATGTTTTTAATGATCGCCATAATTGTTTTCTGTTCATTCTTTTATAAGAATCAATTTTCACAGAAAGCTATTACCATTGCGTGATTACACTGATCAATAAACATCTCCTACACTTAAAATGTACTAAAGGCAATATTCAATATATTTTTACGATAAAATTGCAGCTCTGAACGAGGAAAATATCGAGAAAACATAAAAATAAACTGGATTCCGTTCTCCACGTTGAATTTTGCATTGAGGTGTCGAGTTGGGAACAGATGTTCCTTTGTTTGTATGAAAAAATCCCTTTGAAATTAATTTGTAAAGATTTAAGTTTCTTGATTTCGTACATAAGTCGCGATGTAGAAAAGTCGTGGTGTACAAAAGTCGTGGTGTAAAAATGATGATAACAGTAGCAGTAATTGTTATATATAGATACAATATGTACATGTTGCCATTTATAAAACATTGGCATAATTTTCTACCTCTCAGATAAATGCAAGTCTAAGTCCCTCGTACAGGCATCTAGGTTCAAGGGGGGGGGGGGCACCTTTTCCCCAATATACATTCAATTTTGTTTATGTCGTATGAAAAGAACTACGCACGCTAACTCTCGACTCCCGCCTACATTTTACACCCATTTAATTCAATACTAATGACAATTTGACCGTGAAATCTTTGTTGAATGCAAAGAACAGTTCAATGATAAATGACTGATAATTTTAATGCCAGTGTTAAATAGTTAATTACCCCTTATTCCAGCTCTTAAAATAAGGGGGGTAGACGATATTTTCCATTGAAATCGGGCTTTAAAGCATCAACACATTTTAAAATATTCTTGGATATTACTAAATGTTCCTAAAATCTTTTCTTATGTTTTACGAATATAAAATAAAACATATATTATTAATAAAAAACAATGTTTTAGTTGTAAAACCCTTTGAAATTGGTGAAAAAATAAGCATTTTTGTAGTTTTTTTGTGTGTAAACATATGTCCCCCCCCCCCATCCCCCCGTGAAACACAAAAAGCTTTAGTATGAATTTGTGACATGACAGTCCATATTACCTGTAAAAAGGAATTTTTGTTTCACGGGGGGGGGGGGGGGAGATGTTTTAAAAATATTTTCCGTTTTCCGTTGATTTCTATAGTGAAAAACACATGTTTTACCCAAATTATAGAGTTATCTCTCTTTGTTTTCCCAAAGAAGTAATGTTTTATGAAAATTCATATAAATATTTATATAAATATGAAAAATCATCCAAATATGTTAACTTTTGAAAATTGACTTGGAGGTAGGCGGGAGAACAATGCTATCGTTCGCAGTTCTTTCATTGAAAGGTCGGTCACATTTCCTAATAGGACGCTATTTAACAATTATGAGAACAACAAGAAATATTTTGATTATTAAATATGAATCCTGTTAAATAATGGTCCGTCGATAAATATGATGATAAAAATCAAACAACTCTTTACAATGAGTACACAAACCTCACCTATCTAATCACTTTGAAATACACCCCAAACTTAACATGCTATCTAGTTTGTACCTGAAATATATCCCAAACTTAACATTAAATCTAGTTTTACCTTTAATGAAAATGTCTGAAATGATATTTTAAAAAAACTTGAACATCAAAAGTAACATTTTTTATATTCACTTAAAAGTAATATAATATTTTTTTGAAACCCTCACAAGGAAAACTTGAGGCCCAGGGGCCTCATCGCTCACCTGAGCACTTTGGCTAGAAAACAGAAAAAATCACTTCAGCCTTCGGCTCAGGTGAGCTAAAATTACATTAAAATACACTGAAATGTGATCAAAAGTCTACAGATAATAGACAAATGTCAGAGCTCTGCCATTCAGTCACCGATCCATGCAGTGCACATTGTAGACAAATGTCAGAACTCTGCCATTCAGTCACCGATTCGTGCAGTGCACATTCAGTTGTTCCGCCTTGTACCCGTTGTGAATATTGTCACACAACAGCAACATATTCTTTTTTTTTTGTTCAAAAAAATTGAATCTGCTCTTCATAAAGTTCGATCGCATTTTTATATTTTAGACAAATTGTAGCCTTTATCAAGTCTTTAAAAACGAGTTCCTTTTTACGTTAGCTTTCTTATCTCTGGTTTAGAAGGAAAAGCTGAAAGAAAAAATGTAAAGTATAAACTGAAGAGTTCTACTTTTATGGTACTTTTTTGCAGTAAGAGTGATCTGCCCTTTGGTTTAAAATTTAAATCTACTCCGTAATTAACAGTTTGTAGTCAATTCAAGTATGCTTAATATAATATGAAACCAAGATGAAGTGATTTTGTTGTGGAAAAAATGAAATTATTAAGAAAGTCGTATACATTAGAAAAGCAAAGAAAAGAAACAAGACTCCTGTATTTAAAAAGTATTATAGTATATGTAGAGACTTGTCTACATTTTTCCTCACAATCCGAATTATTACATCTAATTTATTTTGACCAGCTATAGTTATATTTTACGTGTCGTATACACATCAATGTAAGCTCACACGCAGTACCGTATTATCATTGTATGTCCTTGCTTGTTTGATCTCTGTATAAATATGCACCTCACTTGAATTCACGTCATGGCGGCAAGTAGACCCCGTATCACCATGATCACACGAGCGCTTTTGATAACGGCAAAAGATAGCATTGTTTTAATGACGT